GAACGCAATAGGGTTGGAGGGGTTGTCATCCTGAACGCCAGCCCACCAGAATCTTCGAATGATCGTGTTGATTTTCTCCAGAAAAGTCTAGGAGAAGAGAACTGTGGACATGTAGTAAACAGGAATAGAGGCAAGAACAGATTTGATATAAGTAAGTCTTCCTGCATGGTTGAGTTTATTAGCCTTAACAATAGTAAGCTTGGCCCTAAATTTATTAACGATGAACTCATAGGCTTTATTTCTATCATTGTGATTGAAAATCATGGGATGACCAAGGTGCATAGTATTAGGTAAAAGATCAGAAACAAGAAAGATATGTTTGATGTAGCTTTTGGTTTGATCATCAATATTTTTGCTGAAAAGAATAGAAGACTTCTGAAAGTTAGGGACCTGGCCCGAGAGCAGCGAAAATCGATCAAAAATAGATTTGATGGTAGCAGCTTCGTCCACAGAGGCATGACCACAAAGGATCAAATCATCAGCAAAAAGAACAGAGTGGATGGGCGGGCAACAGGGACCCAGAGAAATACCTGAGAGGTTTCTGTTCTGGAGTTCAACCTGCAGACGAGTAGATAGTTCATTAATAGCAATGACAAAAAGGTATGGTGACAGAGGGCATCCTTGGCGGATTCCTCATTGAGATCGAAAAGCTGCAGACGGTTCACCATTAAGCAAGACAGAGAACGTCGGTGTAGAGATGCAGGCATGGATAAGGCGAATGAAATTATCTTTGTATCCCTGACAACGAAGAGCGGCTTCAATAAAATCCCATTCAAGACGATCAAAGGCTTTGGCAAGGTCTAATTTAAGGATGAAAGCCTTCTGATTCCAACTTTTTAAATTGAAAGAGTGAATAATTTCCTGGGTGATTATAATATTAGAAGAAATATACCTATTTTTAATAAAAGCAGCCTGAGCCAAGTTGATGGAATGAGGAAGATGAGGTTTAACTCTATCGGCTAAAGATTTTGCTATGATTTTATAAATTACATTATAGAGACTAATGGGCCTAAAATCCTGAGGAATAATCGGATGAACTTTTTTAGGAATTAGGGCGATATAAGTTTGGTTGAGCTGATCAGGAAGATGAGCAGAAGAGTAGAAGTGAGTTACCAGGTTGTGAACGTCCTGCTGAATCTATGGCCATGTCATCTTGTAAAAAGTCGCATTTAGTCCATCTGGGCCCAGAGTGGCATTGTTTCTCATCTGTTTAACAATAGAATGCAATTCCTGTAAATCTGGAATCGAGTTAGTGTATGGATCCTTTGACGGCAAATGCATTGTATTCTCTGCAATAGTTCCTGTATTGTCTTCCGGAATAGGAGATGGCTGAAGATGGGTTTGCTGAAGGTTCCTGTGCAAGTGCTGGGTGGTAAAAATTCTTTGGAAGTAATCAGTAAGGGTTTGGGATAGTTGGTCAGGGGTAGTGGAGTGGGAGCCATCAGGGTTCTGGAGGTGGGTAATCCTGTTCCGCCTATTTCTTTTGATGATAGAGTGGTGAAAGAAAGTTGTGTTCCGATCACCTTTGACAGCCCACTATTTTTTTGCTCGTTGGATGTGGTAGGTTTCATCCTTTTCAAGGATACATTGGTGTTGCTGAGCTAGGTGATTTTGAAGGGATTGATCTTGTTGGTTGGGAGGCTTGGATTGCTGTTGAAGCAACTGATTTTCAATAGCAGCCAGTTGGTCAGAGATTTTGGGTTTGGTTTTGCGCCACCTGCACAGATCAGTGACAAGGAATCTAGTTTTTTGAGTGAAAGATCTAGAGCCAGAGCGCTCCCAACTTTTCTGAGCAACCGTGTGGTAATCCTGTTCCATAATCTACCAATTTTCGAAACGAAAAGGTTTGTTGGTTCGAAATCTTTTGGAATTAAGAACCGCAAGAATAGGAGCGTGGTCGCTGCGAAGCATCGGTAGGTGATAGATCGTCGTATTTGGAAATGCCATACACCATTCTGCATTGCCTAAACAGCGATCAAGCCTTTCATACGTCGGGTTAGTGCTGAAACGTTTATTAGTCCAAGTATAAGCCGGTCCACTATGGCCCAAATCAATGAAACCACATTGTTTAACATGAGCACATAAAACGTTAATACGTCTAACATCAGCCCTTCTAGGACCTAACTTTTCATTAGCATGCATGATGTTGTTCATATCCCCCATACAAAACACAGGCAAGTTGCGATTATTTACTACAAAATTTTGCACTTGACTCCAGATATTATCAGTGGCACGGTGATGGGGGTCACCATAGATGCATATAAGACCAAATTGCTTCATGCTTTGTTTATTTATGCACATAGCCATGATATAGTGGTGACAGTGGTCTACAACAGTTAGGTCTACATCATCGTTCCAAATAAGCCAAAGTCCACCGGACTGGCCTTGGGATGGAACCGCAAACACATCAAAGTAGTTAAAACGATTGACAAGAGCAGTTCGTTTAATGGTGGAGTTTCTAGTTTCAGAGATGAAACATACCTACGCATTGGTTGAAGTTAGTAGCCGGACGAGATGTGTCATTTTCGAACTACAAAGGTTCCTGCCCGAGCCTCGGTAGTTCCAGACCAGTAGACTCATGGCCCCCGTGGCGCCTTGAAGGCTAGCTCCGGAGCCTGAGTAGTAGCGTCGTGGTGGGCCCTGTAGAGTAGTGGTTGCCTCTTGTGTACTCTGTGGCTTTTGGGGAACTTTGCTTTGGCCTTGACTGTCCTCAACCTGGTATTGTGCTGCACTACTGAAAGCTCTAGTTTGGTTTTGGTAAATTGTTAAAATTCTAAGTGCTAACCTAGTTTATCTAAGTAATCATGAGATAGGTAACACTATTCCAAGTTGTGGAGCAATGGTGAAGATCATGATGATGGTGATGCCATGATGATGATCAAGTGCTTGAACTTGGAAAAGAAGAAAGAGAAAAATAAAAAGTTTAAGGGAAAGGTGAAACTTGATAGGAGTTTTTTTTGTTTGATGATCGAGACACTTAGCGAGTGTGATCACATTTAGGATTGATAGCCATACTATTAAGAGGAGTAAAACTCGTATCGAAATGCGGTTATCAAAGTGCCACTAGATGTTCTAACTCATTGCATATGTATTTAGGATCTAGTGGAGACTAACACTCTTGAAAATGTTTGTGAAAATATGCTAACACACGTGCACAAGGTGATGTACTTGGTGGTTGGCATATTTGAGCAAGGGTAAAGAAGTTGGTGAAGTCGTAGAGTTCACTAGAGCTGACCGGATGCAGGACCGAACGCTGATCCTGTGCGTCCGGTCAGTAGTGGATCAGTGGCGCGGTCTCGGTCTTGATGACCGGACTCTGGGGCGTTGTTGACTGGTTGCGGCGAAGGTGAGTCCGGTCAGTGCTGACGTATGCTGACGATGGCGGCTTTGGAGAAGGCGCGAAGGGACAGAGAAGACCGGACGCTGCAGTGAGTCCAGTCATGGTAGACCGGACGCGTCCGGTCGACAATTGGCCGCTTTGGAACCTCTCTGGAATCGATTGGACTCTGAATAGTGGAGAGTCCGGTGGCGCAGCAGTGAGTCCGGTCACCACTTAATCGCGTAAGATGCTGAGAATCGACCGTTGAGATCGTGCGGTGGAGAATCAAAAGAGGAGACACGTGGTGAGCATCGAGCGACTAGACGCTGCGGGTCTGCGTCCGGTCACCCCGAGTTGGGCTGCAGTGAGAGCCCAACGGCTCTATTTCAAGGGGGCTCTATTTAAGCCACATAGTCGGCTCTAGCTTACTCTCTTGACCATTTGCATTGACATAGCAACCTTGTGAGATTAGCCAAAGCCCTCCCACTCATCTCCATCATTGATTCATCATCTTTGTGAGATTAGGAGTGAATTCAAGTGCATTGCTTGAGTGATTGCATATAGAGGCACTTGGTGTTCGTGTTTCGCTACGGATTTCGCTTGTTATTCTTGGTGGTTGCCGCCACCTAGACGGCTTGGAGCAGCGAGGATCGTCGAGCGAAGGTTGGTGATTGTCTCTGGCTCCGATCGTTGTGATTGTGAGTGGTTCTTGACCTTTCCCCGGCAGAGAGCCAAAAGGTACTCTAGTGAATTACTCGTGGCTTGTGTGATCCTCATCTTGTGTTGGTTGTGTGGCATCCTATTGAGGGTTTGACGTGTGATGCCAATTAGCGCGTGGACCTTTAAGTGAGTGTATCACCACAACGAGGACTAGCTTACCGGCAAGCAAGTGAACCTCAGGATAAACCATTGTGTCTTGATTGTCTTCTTGGTATTCATCGGTATTCATTGATTGATCACTTGCCACGTCGGTATATCTATCTACCACTTTCTTGTATTACATTGTGATTATCTTTATGTAGAGCTTGTGGTAATCGTAACTAGTTAGTGTAGCTCTTAATTGTAGTTCTCTTGCTAGTTTACTCACTTAGGATTTCTATTAGTGACTTAGCTTTATTGTGATATAATAGAGATCATAGGAAATAGAATTGGGTGGGAGGCTTGCAACCCTAAGGGTAGTGCTAGTGCAAAATTCGTTTCGCCATCTTATTGACTAATCATTTATTTTAAGTGTTGTTGTAGAATTTTTAATAGGCTATTCACCACCACCTGTGGCTATTAGAAACTTTCAACCGCCTTCCTTAGCTGCATTGGTTTGGTGTTGCTGCTGCAAATCGATGAGTTTGTGCATTATCCATGTTGTCGAAATTGGATCCTTGGAGCAGAGCAGCAGGTTTGGAGTTGGGCGTCTAGACTCTGGAGTTGGAGGCTTGGAGCACTGGACTACTGGACCGCTAGAGCAGAGGCCGCGCAGCACCTGCCGCCGCACCTGCAGCACCCATCAGCCATCGCACCAGCAGTCCCGCAGGGCCGCAGCACCCGTTAGCCATCTCACCCGCAGGGCCGCCACACCCGCCGGTCGTCGCAAGCGTCGCAGTAGCACCCGCCTCGCCGCGCCGCCAAAGCCACCTTCAACGCCACGACTTCTGCTAGATCGGAACAAGAGATGAACAGGAACATCCTAGGCATGAAGGGCCACGAGATGCCGTTGTGAGACTTCCAGTCGACGACGTTGACTCTGGTGGCCCCCATCCTGATGAGCACCTGGCCTATCTTCAGCGACGGGATCGGCACCTCCACATGCTGCTCGCACTGCCGAAGGCACCCGCAACAGCATCCTCTGCTCGCGCCTCCGCAGCTCATTGATGGTTTCATAGCTCTGCTTCCATGCGTTCCGAAGTTCGATTCTGACAGGCTGTAGCTTGATCTCTGTTCCAGTCCCCTGGGGATCCGCAACTTTCGTGAGCAAATTGTGGCACGTGTCCACTGCATCTTGTTGTTGGCGATGAAAGCTTTTGGCAGCACGTGATGAGAGCTGCAAAGCTTGCAGAGACCTCGGAAGGTCCGCATCAGGGAGAATCAGAGTGTTGTTCGATGTGTTTGTCTGGAGTGGTGGAGGTGGATCAGGAGGTGAGGGAATGATTGGAGGATCTGGTGGCTTGGGAACAATGGGTGGCGGGTCGATCTGACGTTTTCCATGTCGATGAGAGGAAATAGGACATGAGCGAAAGAGGCAAGAATAGAGGTTCTTGGGGATTCATCAACCAGATAAAGCATGTTGGGAAAGAAGGTGAATCGGCTGCAGGCGGTGGATTATGCGAATAGGCACGGAGGGAGCGCGCGAGGAAAGAGGGAGATGGATTACCGGGCAGGAGACACCACTTGAGAAGCCTGAGATTTGGGCAGAGGTCGATCTCAGGCAGAGGCAATCAGATGGATCTACAAATTAGCAGAGCAGCAGTCGATGTACGATTTAATCTTGCAGATTAGCGGATGAGCAGCGTGAGGGAAACAGATTGGGGATGGAAGGGGATCAGGAAGGAAGAGAACCGGCATACGCCTACTGGAATACCACAGAGAAGGATCCAACACTACGAGATAACAACCAATATACCACAGAGAGGGATCCAACACCACGAGATAACTACCGATTTACCTATCGGCATCCTTGGAAACCGATATAGCCACTGGTAACCTGACAAATAAGACGTGCGTTAACCTTGTGCTTTATTATCCGCAAAAGTTTAAGCCCTTTGATGCCATCCGCACGAGCAACATTCCGATTCCTGACGCGGCAGATGGTTTTTGAGCCACAAACCACGGAAGGTCCCGGGCAACAAGCCAACAACAGCTAATCAGCCACACTGACCGTCCCAATCCATATAATCTGTCACTTTGCTGTTAAGTCACTCCGTGCAGGATATAAGAAGTTCGGATGCGGCAGCGGGTGAACGTCCCGCGGCTGCCAAAGTGAAAAATGAGGTTTGGACTACAAAACTTAACGGTGCAGTTAAATCCAAAGATATGTCATTGGAGCAACAAATTTAAATAGCACAGTGCATTCTAGTAGTTGTTACAGTTTGATTTGACAACCATGCCCAACAGCAGTAGGCATGTACTCCGAAACGAGTACTGTGCTTAACCTAGACGGCCATATTAGTGAACAAAGTGTTCCAGCCAAAAGAAACTTCATCCATGGAGCTGCCCACCATCATTGTTTCTAGTTATTAGCCACTAGATCAAGCCACATCTGCAGTAGAAAAGAAATATCATGAATCAGTTAATCAAGTACTACACATGAAAACAAAATAGGTGCCAGAACCATCATGATAACCTAAGATTAACATGTACAATTTATTCCTGAGTGATTGGCATGTTTACCACCAATGAGTCTAAAATTTTTAACACTGGCACAAGGCTTACCATTAAATGATACGAATAAAGTTAAATTTGATTAACAGAAGGACACAAGCGGCATTATAAATACTAAGTGAAAAAAAAGGAATCTATGCTATCCTTGCGAAATGGCCAACCCATCGGCTCATCCCATGTCGAGCTAACCTGCTCAACATTTTGTATGATCATGTGAAGACAATTAGAACTAAATGAATAAATCCTATGTTACAAACAGAAGGGTTATGCATTTAATAACTGGACTGCCCCACCAAAACATGGAGCAGCCAAAAGAAATCCAACAGCAGCACCATTCTGATCACCCATTCCACTAACCTTGGAAGAAGGAAAGGAAGACTCTTTCAGTATGCTGAGCATAACGTCCAAGGTTCTGGCGCGAATCAAGCGGCATTCCTCAGGCTCGTGCCGTGTGAAAAAGCTGAAGGTGGTAAGCTTGTCCTCTTTTTTTATCCAATCACACATCAATTTGCACTCTTTTGTGATGCCCTTTAATTGAAGCCATTGGTGCAGTAAGTGCCGGTAAGTATTAAACATAGAAGAGATGGAGGATGCTAGTTAAACCTAAGAGTGTTTTGGCAGAGGTGGTGTGATGCGGGCAGGCACTTACCACCATGGCGGCGGCGGCATCAATGGCACGGGATCCTTGTAGGTGCATAAGGCTCAAGGCGCACATGCGGATCATGCTGCTCTGCTGGATGATGCCATCAGTAGGCTCAGCACCATGCTTTAGAAGCTCACATATCAGGTCAGCCTCCTTGCTAATACACTTGAAACCAAAGTTTTGCATTAGTCAAAAGCCATAAAAGAAGTACTACATTACTGAAAGTGCATGTGCTGAGTTGGATAAAAGGAGTAGTGAAACAGTGAGCATGTAGGGCTCAGGGTCAAGTTGGCACAATTAAAATGGCACCACAACAAATAGATATAAAGTCTGCAACAATAAAAAGATAAAAGCTTAGATCGAGCACCGTTTTGCAGCAAGAAGCAGATCACAAACGTTAGATGACAGTACATTGCTTGCCAATTTTACTAAAAGAACCAGCCGCAATCAGTCATCAAATGTGCCATAGGCAGGTATTTCAATATTGATAAAATAGAACTGTGAAGACAGGACTAGAAACCCTCCTCCATCTCCCTTCTGATCTGGTCAGTAGCTAATTGTCAACAGCAAAACACATTTGGTCAGTAGGACTAGAGAGTAGTAGTACTGCGGTGAATACGACACAATTTTTTGCTTTGTTTACGCCCAGTTTGAGGCACATACCGCAAAAGCAACAGTGGAAGCAACAGGAAGTCCGCCCTCTTCAGCAAATATGATTGAATGTGCATGCTTCTGGATCAGGTTATTCTGAACGATAGTGTTGACAGGCAAGATCACAATCGGGGAACGCAGCACCTGAGTGTTCCACAAAGACACAAGTTCCTCCTCCTTCTTGAGACACTATTTGACAACCAGTTTATTCAACATAGCAAGAAGACAAGCAAAGAAAAAATTTAGGAGGTTTTGACTGATGGTTTAGAAAGGGCAGTTGTGTAACTTCAGCAACTTCACTGGCATTGCGCTTGTAATACTGCCGAAGGTAGTTGCAATAGTCAGATCACTCAACAGAACTGTTCAATGGCAGCAGCCTGTCCCACGCCCATGTTTTTTCAAACACATCTTTTCAAAAGAGTAACAACAAGGAAAAAAAGAATAATTAAATCTTTTGAAACAACAGTATTAAGACAATGAATCATGCTTGTTGATCGGATATAAATAACCACGATTTGTTTGGGTGGGGGGGGGGGGTGGGGGGATAAGGAAACGGCAACACGCATGGGCTTACGACCGCAAACAAACAGATAGGCAGACAGCATTGAGAAATTTAAACATGAGCACGCAAGCCAGATAACGAGCAAAAGGGAACAGGAATACATCAGCATATAAATCTCTCGATCAGATCAATACCTACAAACTTGACAATCCCAACCGGTGGTACAGTCTTTGCATCATCGCCCTCTTCCAAATCTTCGAACGAAGAATCTACGGCCATCCTATCCTTGTCAGTGCAGATTTCCATCTGAATCTTCCTGGTGTCATGCGAGCTCTCCGCGAGGTACTCTAGCCGAAGACGCACTCCATGATCATCTCCGTGCCCAAGGTTGCAGTGTCTGCCTCCCCTCTTGCTTAGCTTACTTCCACTTCGGCAGCGGCCAAGTTCTGCTTCAATGAGAAAACAAAAGCCCGTGAGGAGTTCTGCAAGAGAAATATAAGTCATACAACAACAACAACAACAACAACAACAAAGCCTTTAAGCCACAAACAAGTTCGGGTAGGCTAGAAATATAAGTCATAGTTACCAGAATTTTGCGATTTCACCACTTCACAAAAATTACAAGGGGTATACCTTCGTCATCTGCTTCTTTGTCCGCATCTTCCATCCTCCTCTTCTTACTAGAATCTGTGCTAGTGATCTTTTCCTGATCTTGTGTGTTGCCCCTGGTGATAGCACGGTAAAATGATACAGCATCACAATGCTTCTCGTCGAAAATAATCAACCTAACTCTCTTACATTATCAGATAATATAATCAAACACTATCTACACTTTGTTGTGTCAAGAAAGGATAGACTATCCATACCCTGTAGAGTTTGCTGCTTCAGCAGGAGCAATGTCATTCCCATCATTTCTAGGAATATTTCCACTAAAAGATTTTTCCTCAACAGGTTTTTGGTCAGCAGCAGCAGCAGCAGAAACAGAAAAGGGAGACTTTTCCAGCATGCTGATCATGAAGTACAGGGTTCCCTGCCGAACTTGGCGACCCAACTCGAAATCATTATCCAAGTCCCTGTCAAACCCGTCAAAAGGCTTACGGTTTTGTCTTATCCAGTCACATATTTTATTGGTCTCCTGCATGATTCCCTTGAATTCAAGCCAGTAAACCACCCATCACTTAGCGGTTAGGTCACATAAGTTGGTTGCAAACAAAGAAAGGAATGGATATAACATTAAGAGGCGTGATGCAGGCAGGGACGTACCACCATAGCAGCAGCAGCAGGAACAGAATCACACAATTGGTGGCTCGTAAGGCTTAAAGCGCACATGCGGATCTCAGTGCTTTGAATGATTAAGTAATCAGCAGGCTTGGCACCAACACTCAGCATCTCACAGATCAGGTCAGCCTCCTTGGTGATACGCTAGAATCGATTGTTTTACAAGTGTATCATAAAAAATCAAATAACATAATCAAAATGCTATCCAAGGAGCCAATATACTTTACTGAAGGTTGTGATGGTGAGTCCAAGCAATCCATAGCAGGTGAAACAGTAAGCATGCAAGGCACAGGCCATGCTCTAGCAACTAGTCATACAACATATTAAGTTTTTGGGAGTGTTCATTAATAACAGGAAGCCAAATGTCAGATAGATCAAGGGAACTGTTTTTAGTGCTAGGCAAACAGGTTTACATATGCTCCTTGTGAGTGCACTAAAAAGACTCAACTTGGTCACTAGATGTGCAAAAACCAATGACTTGAAATCAGATATCAGATAAAATATAAACTGTGGCGGTAAGACAGGAATCCTTGGTCATATTGTGGTAGTTCACACCAATTTGTAGTTTGTACAGCTACCTGGATTATGAGGACCCGGTAGTATTTTCAAGATTGCATGGAATAGATCAAATAATATCTTGTTACAATGAGTACAAATAGTTTCTCTGTCATGGTGACAACTGAGCAGAGATATTGAAATAGTTCCAAATAGGATTTTTTTTCCTGCTCTACTTAGCTAATTGACTGCGAGAACACATTTGGTCATTAGGATGCAGAGAGAGGAATACATTTCTGTGGTGTGATTTGTTTGGGCTGTTAAGGACAGTTGTGGTACATACCAACAAAGCTGCGGTGGAAACATCAGAAAGTCTCTCTCCTGTGCGTTTGACTTTGTCTGCAAACTCCTGGATAAGGCTACTCAGAATGAAAGTAGTTATGGGTAAGATCTCATCCGTGCATTCTTTCATTCTACGGTCCCACAAAGACACAAGTTCACCCTCCTTCTTGAGACACTACTTGACAGCCAGTTTAACATAGGAAACAAGACAAGCAAAAAACAATTAGGAGCAGGCTTCGACTGATGGTTCAGAAAAGAGGGGCACAGTTCAATACTTAGTTTCGGCCGCATCAACCAAGCTGATGCCAGTAACTTCAGCAATAACACTGTGATGGCGCTTGAAATATTGCCCAAGGTAGTTGCAATAGTCAGACCACTCAGGGTTACACTTGAACGGCAGCAGCATTTCCCAGCCCCATTCCTTTGCCAACTCATCTTTCGAATGAAAGAAGTAACAACACAAGGGAAAAAAGAACCATTAATCTTTTGAAGAATCATTAAATCTTTTGAAGCAACAGTATGAAGACATGAATTATGTTTGTTGAGGGGATGTATACTCTGTACCCCTAGGATCTACATCAATATTTATATCCGACGGTTCTCCACCTTTGTAGGAACAAACATGATTCATGTCCCCCACCGGTCATCCTCCACCACCGCGCTGCCCTCACTGCCTCACCCAGAAATCGCCCCCACCGACGGGCCGGCCTTCAGCCTGTTCGGCTGGGATTATACGGTCGTAAACGATCGTGGATTATAAGCTGAAACAGTATTTTTCTCTCACACCAAACCAGTCAAATCAGTCAGCAGTAAATAATCCACGATTGTTTACGGCCTGCCGAACAAGCTGCTTACTCCCCAGCTTTCCTCCAATCCCGAAATCCCCAAACCCTAACCCCAACTCCTAAATCCCTAACCCTAACTCACTCCTAAGTCACTGAAATGGGCTGGACGAGATAAATCTCGCTGGAAATGGAGAAGATGGGGGCGGATCTCGTCTCGCCGGTGTTGAAGAAGAGCGAGCGTGAAGATTGGGTGCAGGAAAAATTCGGGTGTGGAGCGGCAAGAAAATACTCTAGCATCATATAGCATTTCGCGAAATGACAAAGAAAAGAAACAAAAAAGACTAGCAAAGATGGAAACGGCAACACGGGCTTGAGGACGCAAACAAACAGTTAGGCCGGCAGCATTAAATTTCTCGATCAGATCGATATCTAAGTCCTTGAGAACCCAAACCCACGGTGTAGTCTTCACATGACGCAATTCCATCTCCTCCTCCCCGGAGTCTTCGTCCGAGCTCCCCATGAGGAGGTACCCCGGAGCTCCATCCTCTCGCCGGAACGCTGCCGGCGCGTGCGCCACGGCCGCCGGAACGCCGTCACCATTGGAGCCGCCACAGTGAGCACGCTTCTCTACTCGATCTGCGCACGGGACCGCCTTCCCAGTGGCCCCGCGCACCTGTATAGCCCCTCCACGAACCACTCCGCCGCCCCCGACCGCCTCGTTTGCCATGCGCTGCCGCGCCGCCCCTGTTCACCCGCCGCCGCGCATGGACCAACAGGGTGCGTGCTTCCTCTGCTCAAAAAGCGGCCTTCCACCCCTGTTCGAACACACGACTCAGGTCCGGTGCGCCGCTGGTGGCAGCCGGCGAGCTCACCACCGGGACGAATCGGCCGCCGGCCATCCGTCCCTGTGGGCACTTGAATAGGAAAAAAGACAAGGGTGTTAATGCGAGAAAATGGACTCAAATGAATAGCTCTGTACGGTACATATGGGTCGCGAATTTGGTTCATCAAAATGCAAGGGCCTATTCGTGAAAATGCACTCGCGCCCTAGGCTAACCGCGCTGGGCCGACCTGCTTCCTTCGCTGGACCGAAACCCGCCTAGTTGCGCCTTGCGCGCTGGGCCAGTTGTGCCGAAAGGGACCCTGGTGTCCCTTTTTCATTTTTGGTGATTTTGTCAATATACAGCAAAATAGCAAACTTGCAAATCCAATATAAAATCATATACGTGCTCAAAAATTTACAAACTAAAATTCTGAAAAAATCTTAATAAGCAGATATACACAGTAAAAATGTCGGGTTGCAATGAAATAACCAATTTTTTCTTGGTACTAAATAGACATTTAAACCTAGTTATTTTGTTCAACTATGCTACCTATTATCTTTAACCAGGATAAGTATAGATAGTTACGATTAGAGATAAAGATAAGATCCTACATATAATAGGTTTAGATATAGTATTGTACTACAAGTAGATTTAGAGTCTACTCAGTCACGTACCAAGATCTACTAAATCCATATGAGTCAGGCTAGAGCTCGGACGTCCGGACAGGCTACGTTCGGACGCCCGTGCCTACTGCGCCCCCATGTAGGCATGCTGTTGTGCCCGCCCTCACGCCTACGCCTGCTTCATGTTGGGACCACGCCGCTCCATTTCCCGTGCCTACGTGCGCCCACGCGAGGGCCGTGTCTCAATCTGTGCTCGCACCGATTGCCGCATCTACCCACACGCATCCAGGCGGGCCTAGCAGGTGCAGTAGGCGGCTACGGCAGATGAGTCCCACTGCAACATGTGCAACACCAGATCTACTTTTATAACATCTATATTAAACACTTGCAACATATATTTGAAACAGTTGAAACACTTTCAACATATATACGTCTGAAACACCAGGAAAACACGTGTGTAGCCATTGCAAAACATATGCAAAATCTATATGAAACACTTGCAACATATGTGTGAAAACATATGCAACATCCAGATGAAACACTTGCAACATATATGTGAAATATATGCAACATCCAGATAAAACACTTGCAACATATGTCTGAAACAGTTAAAACATTTGGAACAATACACTTGCAACATACGTGTATAGTCATGGCAACATATGCAACATCCACATGAAACACTTGCAACATGCATGTGAAACACCTGAAACACTTGAAACATATGCTTGCAACATGCACTTTCAGCATAACACCTTCTGTTTACACCAAAATTTGGAAGAAGGATCTCAGAAGCTCGAGAGCTCCCAAAATCATGTCAGCAAAGAATCAATTGCGTGCAGATCGAAACCAGCTGATTCGGATGCAGCACTAGAATCAGCTTTCTTCAGATAGCGCCAGCAGATAACGACAGAGGCTATGATCAGCGCTGGGACGAGACATGCTGGACTCTATAAAAATAGAAAGATTAAAGTCCAAGTTATCTTAAATTAGGAATATTTTTATTTTATGCTAAAGGTTGTAACAAATCATGCTCGAATAGGATTCATGTTTAGACTTCGGGTATAAATACCAAACTCCGGCTATTGTAAAAAACATCAATCAATCAAATACAAAGTCAATTACTTTTTTTTTTCTCCGGCCACCCCTTAGGAGTAGGAGTAGAGTAGATCTCGACAAGTTCTTCAGCAAGTACCGTCATGGTTTATACCTCCACTGCTTGTCTAGAAGTACCGTCATGGTTTATACCTCTATTCGTATGGCTGCATCGATCCGGTCCACCCCCACTGCGACTCTGGTATAGGCTAGTTATCGATTCTTGTCTAATTCAAGTATGACCTATGTGATTCTGTCTCACACCCCACTACTTGAATTAGATCAAGGTCAAGTTATCGGCTCTACCTTAGTATGGCAGTCTTTGGTAGATTCATTAAGTTACCGATATTACTTATTGCTTTCATGGTTTATCTAATTACAGCAATATCACTCTACCCGATTGAGATTGATTTGGATCGACCTTATATCTTGTTTAACTCATCGTTTGCTAATCTAAAACTGATCTAATCTATATCTTAAGCGATGAGTTATGTTTTTATCGGCTGTTTCGCGTCAATCTTAATTGTGCATAGCGTGCGGTTAAGACATGTCCGATCTTGAGTAGATCTATTAGTTAATAAAAACCGTTCCATGGCCCGTCATCACGGCCTGTGGGATTCTGCCTCTCACCCCACTGTTGGCATCGTAGAGTGGGGATCGTTAGTTGGTAGACCCGTTCTTGGGAAGGCATGACCTTAACTGTGCGCTATGCCTGAATCGGCTGTTTAGCCGATATCGAATGCTTTCACGAACAGTTCACATTACGAGATCATTGAAGTAGAGATAAGTTGAAAGATATGTTAGCCCCATAATCTTGTTATTGTATTACGGCCTGTATGATTCCGTTTCATGCCCCACTGATATTAGTAATGAGTTAGGGTTGTCGAGTCTATTGTTGTTTCTACGGCCTGCATGATTCTGCCTCATTCCCCACTGGTCATGGCGATAGATGAGATCTAACATGTTCATTAGATTTATCTTTATTAAATGGTTAAGAGGTGTTGAATTGTTTCTTTATATAAAAGGAGTTCAGTTACTTGTAATTATTGGCTCAGTACAAACCGATCATCATTGATATCTTATTGCCATTGATTAATATTTGCTTAAATAACATTTATCCTGAATGATAACCGATTCTTCTTATACAACCCCATGAGCTTTAATCGATTCATTCTTGTGAATATGCTGGGATCGACTATTTAGTCGATCACCTCTCATATCGGCTCTCAGAGCCGCACATTCGGGACTGTCTGGCAACACCAGCACGTTCCACGATTGAGCAGGATCGACCACCCTTGCGCTAAAGCTAGACGGATCTGCTCCATTGAGCGGACCCTTCTGGCTTGTTGTGTGTGTCCTCGGCACGGAGACGAAAATTCTGTGTCGACACCTTCTTGCTGCTTGGGCGAATCGAGGCTCATCGAAGCGGAGCTCGACGTCGACACGAAGCTTGATGCCACGGAGGTCGCTAGTGCAGAGCACATCGGCGACGCGGATCTCGGTGGCGCAGAGCTTGCTGACAACATACGGCTCGCCCGGCAGCAACGCGCGCAGAGCTCAGCGACGACACGTGGATGTCAGTGGCGACGCACAAAGGGTGGTTGGGGTATGGCTGTGCGTGACAAGCGCGTGGCGGGTGGCTGTGCGAGTTCGAGACGGGGAGGTGATGCACAAGCTCCATGACATCCTTCCTCTCCCTGTTGCTTTGAATATAGAGATGGAGGAGAGAGAGATGAGATGGAACCGGAGAGGATAAGTCTAAGTGACCACCTGAGTAACTGACAGGAGTATCAGATATTTGTATGGTGGGTACAATATGTGAACCACGTGAGGCCACGTAGTGTCCAGCGTTTGGACGCGGCACAGACGCCCGCAGGGGAGCATTACCGAATCTATTTAGTTACGTACCAAGTTCTACTAGGACATGTATCATGCTGACTATATATTGAACATAGTGGCAATCTAAGGACAAGCCAATCTGTTCTAATTTTTTTCTTAGTCCTCAAAGCTACTTCACCGTCAAATCCATCTACGCCACACCAGGAGGTATGTGGCGAAGCAACAGCTTGCAATCTACTTGGTCTTGTCATCTTATTGGCCACTCTCATGCGCATCTTTGAGCCTACACCAAATTCTATTAAATTAAATAATAAAGCAACCTTCTTATTGTCTTACCTTAAAGAATTGTCACTTACTCTCTCCTTTCAAAATTATAACTCTCATGGGCATCTTTGAGCCTACACCAAATTCCATTAAATAATAAAGCAACCTTCTTATTGTCTTACCTTAAAGAATTGTCACTTACTCTCTCCTTTCAAAATTATATGTAGTTTTTTTTTGTTTTTTTTTTTGCGATTACGCGTACAACTTAAACACTCGCAACACACGCATACTCACCCCTATGAACGGATGCACGCAAGATTCAGGACCTGAGGTGAGGCTCTTGTAACCACTAGGGTACATGCCCTTTCGCAATTATATGTAGTTTTAGTTTTCTCCTCGGTCAGGTTTTAGTTGTGTCCTCGGTCAGATTTCTCAAACTTGACCAAGTTTATTGGAAAATATATTGCCATCTACATTACCAAAATAAATGCATTGCACTATATATCAAGACATGTTTCTTAGTAGATTTTAATAAAACTAATCTTATGTTGTTGGTGCATTTTTCTATAAAGTTGTTTAGTGTTAGAGAAGTTTGACTTTTTTTGCGGGGGAAAGAGGTATCCTTATTTAACTAGGGCGGGGATTACAATCATGGTTCGAGAGGTCAATGACGCACGCAGGCGCTTGCCTCAGGCCTCAGCCATGTCGCAGTATGAACATTCCGCCAAGCTAAATGAGCAAGTTCATGAGCAACACCATTACATTCCCTCTTAACCTTTCTGATCTTTCACTCAGGCAGCAGCTGCAGATATTCTTTGGCCTGGATGGTCCAACGGAGTTCTGACCTGTCCTCCCTGGCGTCCCCCAACGCGGCGACTAGCCTAGCTGAATCAGACTGCAAAATAGTCGGACCTGAACACCACTCAGCCAGTCATAGACCTTTCCACGCAAGCCTGTCCTACCGCTTCATCCGCTGAGGCACATCGGAACAAGACATGCCATGCCGTCAGGAGAACGACGCCCTGATGATTCCTGACCACAACTCCAACACCGGCTTCACCAGTAGCGTCCACAAAGGAGGC